CAATGAGATAAGGAGGAAAACACACCTGGAGTTCCAGTCATGTGATCGAAGGCTCCAGAGTCAATGATCCAGGGATTGGGTGTAGATGCCATGGAACAATCCTTACCATAGTTTTCAAGGCACCAAGGCGAGGCTAGGTGACAGGGGGGGCACCTTGTCGCCTAGTCACCTAGGTGATGGATTTTTTAAGTAAAACCATATATCCTAGGGTAGTTCCCTAGGTTCCATAACCATCTTTCCTTAATAATTATTCATAATTTTCATAGGAGAAGTATAAATTTCATGTTTAAGTCTAGAAAATCAACATTTTATGAGAAGAAAAAGAACAAAGGAAAGAAAATTCAAAAAAATATAGGGGCTGAACCCCTACTTTTGTTATAGGAAAGAAGAAAAGAAAAGGTGGAATAAGAAGAAGATGTGGAAGAAGAAAATGTGTTGATTAAACAAAATTTTAAGTTCTTCCTTTGCTTATTGGTTCAGGTTTTGAAATTTTTGAGGATTCAATCAAGGATCAAAATTTCGATACGATACGCCCCATATCGGGTGTGTTGTATTGTATCTTTGGGGTCCCGATACCTGTTTACAGGTGTTGTCGAGGACCAATTTTTTTAAATAATATATATATATTTAAAAATGAAATTGAAAACCAAAGAAATAAAAAAATAGGGGGAGTATCGTTATAAGTACCGATACACCTCTGTCCATACACAGAGGTGTATCGATACTTTGAACCATTTGTTCAATACAGCAGTTAGCAATGTTTGTGTTGATTAAACCCTAATAAAATAAGAAAATTATAAAAAGAAATTAGTATATAAACACATAAAATGAACATTCTAGTTTAATAATGTCTATTTTATAATTATAATGTCAAAAAATTAAAAATATATAAGTATTTTATAACCCAGTGCACAGAACTGCTTGGCAACTGGGCGAGGTGAGCCCCCAAGGGTGCCTTGTCGCCTAGGCGTCACCTTGACAACTATGGTCCTTACTCTACGTGTCCTTTGCTTTATAGTTGGCTGGTTTATTCACAAAGACCATGAACTGTTCTCATCACCATTTTCTAGTTGAAAAACTGATGTTTGTGCCTCGACATCAGTTTGAGGGGGGTGTAGAGACTGATTTACGTCCCATACAATTTCTTTCCTTATTTTGCTCCTATGATCACATGTTTATGTTGCATCATATGTGCATTATCTTTTTCTGTTTTATTCTTTCTTGTGAGAGACATAATTGTCCTTTCTCAGCCTTGTATATAATACATATATAAGATAATATTTTTAGGCATGTGACTCATTGAACACACCCTTTCATTCTGGTTTTCTCTTGTTCGAACTGAATTGACAGCTTAGGAGCATTTCAATGAGCACCAACAAGTCCAAGACATCATCACCATGATAAGGAATGTTGTACCCCCTCTGAACAACCAACAAGGTTAGGAGAGGAAGACTAGTGGAGCCGACCTGCTAGCTTGCCGGTCTGAGCTACCACTTAGGCATTCAAACCACCAAGCTCAGCATTTCGATATCCGAGCACCACTTAGAAGTCATCTTAACAGATAGCGCTCCAGACAAATGGAATCCAAACGTTACAAGACTGAAGACCAAATGATTGGGGAAGAAGAGGGGAGGGCAAGTGGAAGGAAGAGAAAGTGGTCTATTGATTGTGAAGGGGGTGATAAGCAGGAGAGAATTTATAACAGGAAGAGAAGACTAGTGGGTAGAGGTGTAAATCGGGCCATGCCGCCTGTGACCTGGCACAATGGTCCACAAGCCGTGCCAGGCCCAGCACAATCATGAGGGTCGTGTTGGGCCTGAAGTTTTAAGTCCACAGGCCGGCAGGGCACGGCACGACCGAGCGGGCTGGCACGGTATGGCCCACAGCCCGGCCTAGCATGGCCCATATATATTTTATATATTTATATATATGTATATATATTATATATTTATATATATGTATATATATTATATATTTATATATATGTATATATATTATATATTTATATATATGTATATATATTATATATATTATTTTATATAATATTATATAAATTATAATTATATAATAATATATAGTATATAATATATTAATAAAATAAATAATTTTTTTTATTTTATTATACTAATTTTTTTAATTATTGTATATATAAGCAATCGAATACACAAAATTCATATAAAATTAAAATTTTAAGTTTTTTGTCAATTTTTTTCAAATAAATAGCTTTGGCCCGATGCACGGCCCGACCTGGCCCAAGGCTCGGCCCACGGGCCTGGGCCGTGGGCCGTGTCGGGCCGACCCCCAAATTTTTAACTTGGAGGGCGGCACGGCCTGTGGGCCAGCATGACACGACCCACACTTTGCACAGGCCACCCACGGGCCGTGTCGTGCCAGCCCGGCATGGCCCACTTTACACCTCTACTAGTGGGTATTGATACAGTTGCTGAAGAGGAGACCAAGAGAAGGGTCCAAAGTAAAAGAGTTGAGCAAGAAGGAGGAGGAGAAGGGAGAGTAAGATACAAGAAGAAATGGGTACAGTCCAGAACAGAGAGGTGGAAATCAGCAAGTTGGTTGAGAGAGATGTGATAGTGGGGAACTCCCTGGGCCTGTTCTTCTGGGGAGGTGAAGATTTTGCGAGGAAATCCTTTGAGCAATTTGAGTTAGAAAGGAGGAGAAAAACAAAAGAGAGTAAAAGAATTGAGAAGAATAGAGATTGGGATGAAGATCGGCGTGAGGAGGAGGTGTTAGGTAAGGACATGTGAGGGTTCAAAGTCCAAATTTTGAAAGGAACTAGGAAAAGGGGGTAAGGATGAGGGTGAGTATGGATCAAAGATAGCGAGGAAGGAAGGATCGTTTGGAGTGGCTTCTCCTTTTTCTACGTTGGGTCCTTCGGAATGGAATGGAAGAATTAGAAAATGTTTCGAAGATAAGTCAAAAGTTTCGAGGTGCTTGCAACCCTGGTTGGAATATGGTGGCGAACTGAGTATCGGAGCCTTTAGATTTTTAATCAAAGTGGTTGATCAGATATGGGAGGGAATCTTTTGGAATGTCCTCAAAATTGAATTTGTAATTCTGATCAATTCTCAGTTTTTTAGTATGTTGCTGTTTTGTATTGGTGAGGTGTCATCTTGCCACTTCTCAGATTGTATTTTCCTTTTTTGTTAATGAAAATTACCTTTAATCTTCAAAAAAAAAGATGACCTATGCTAATTTTGTAGAACTCGCCTATCTTGTGCAATGAAGCAAGCATGACACGAGCTCCAAGCCCATTTGAAAGCCCAGACCAGGGTTGGGCACAGTAGAGAACAGCAACGGAAAACTGATTGACCTCAGTTAAGCGTCAACCAAACTGACTCAACCAGAAAGTAACAAACACTAGTTCACCCCTGAGATAAAAAATAGTGACTACCTCAACACAAGCTCTAAGCTCGACACAGAGACCTGACTAGGGTCGTGCACAATGGGAACAGAGATAAAAAACCAACCTCAGTTAAATGTCCAACCTCGGTTAAACATTGACTAAACTAACTCAACTAGGCAGGGTAACAAAAACTGACCAGCCAACTGAAGGCAAAAGAATGGTGGTCACCTCTTCACCTTAGGTCAAAACTCGAGACAAACCTCAACTAATGGCGGGTTCAACAGGGAACAATGGTTGAACCATCCCTTCAACTCCGTCAATTCCAAGGTTAGACCAACCTGCCAACACTTGTGCAAAAGGGCAGTTGCTCCTACCTCAGCTTGGTCCACTCCACCCAAGATGCTCACTCTCTTTCTATTAAGTTCTTCCCTTCTGTTCTTTATAAATTGTTCAATTACCTTCCTCTCCACCCTCTCCCCACCCAAGAAGAATAACCCCAGTGACTTTCCCACCTCTACTTGTCTATCTACTCCTCAATTACCTCTTACAAAGATAAATAAATAAATAACAACAATAGTAAATACTCAATTAAATCAGGTTTACATTAAGGATCACTGGCAGCAAAGGTCACACCTAAAATACATAATTCTAGAATGATGACAACAGAACCCTAAGCATGATAAGCATATAAAGAATATAATATATATATATATATAGAGAGAGAGAGAGAGCTATTGATATAGATATAAAAGTAAAAGCCTTATCGGCAATGAAACATAACAAATTACTTACATCTTGTATTTTGATCTCCATTTCATGTATTTTCTTCTCAGTGTCACTTGCTTGGGCCTCCAAGTCATCTTTTTTCCTATTTTGGCTTTCTATTTCCTTTATCAGTTTCTCTACCTGCCCAAAAGATTGAAGTCAAAAAGATTCACTCAGCAAGTTTTTCTTTCCACTTCTCTGTAAGAAAAATTAAAAGTGTTTTTGTCCATCATAGTTAACCTGTTTCTCAAGTTCACCTGCCCGTGCATGAGCCTTTCCCACCATCTCTGCAGCATCTGCAGTCCCCTTTCTCTGCAATACATGATAACCATTTTTCATAAATATATAAATTCGAAAACCAATTAATGAAGTACTCAAGACAAATTTGGTTGTGCACAATGAATAATATTGTTTTTCATTTGTATGCACAAATTGTATAATTCCGAAGGAGGCAAAATTCCAAGGCACTAACTAACCATTTCAAAGCAAGCTAGTTCCAGAAAGTTACATGAGACTAATTGCAAAGAAGGGAAATAATTGCAGATAAGCCAAGTGCATGCTTGTATTCAGTGTTCATAAATAAGGTGTGAAGTGAGGCATGAGCCATAAGCCTCATGAGTTGCCATTTTTTAAGAACAAAAAGATAAAACTAAAATAAGAGCATAGAAAATGCACAAAAGGTTCATACTATTAATAGTTGCTGATCATATAAACAAAAAATATAAGAATTCTTGGAGCTTAAAACCATTTAATAACTACTTGCCTTGGATGTAAAACAATACTACTTTAAATGTTGAAACAAAGATATAATTGCAACTATACACATGCACGCATGTATTGCTTTGTCCTATATAAATAAAATAGTTGGATAGTAAAATATTTAGTCATTTAAGGGCCAACCTAATATTCTATTCAACCATTAAGGAGCTCAACCTACTTAATGGCATTCATTAATACACAAAGCAATAATTAATTCAGTTAAGCCACTTCAGCTGTTACCAAATGGGCCCTTATATATTCACACATGAGCCTCAAGGTATTTTCCTTAGCCTCACGTTGATAAAAGCCTATGCCATATTTGGATACTGCTTGTATGTATTAGTCAACCACCATTGAGGAAGCACAATAGAAAGTTGAGTTAGGGGTTTATTTCAAAGAAGTTACTTTAGGGGGATATTTTCTGTTTATAAATTATAACGAATGACTATTCTCATCAATTTTCCTTCTCCCTCTTTCTTTCTTTCTTTTTTCTTAAGTAACGTTCGATTCAACCCTAAAACTTACCTGGAGGGAATCTATCTCGCTCCGTAATGATGCAATGCTATCCGATTTCTCTTTTATAGTATTTCCCATCTCTGCAATGCGCTCATCCTTGCTCTTTAATTCTCGAGTTTTCTCATCAATGCTAGACTCTTCAACAGAGAACAGGGAAAAAATGTCACGATTAGACATAAGAAAATGGCAAATTACAAACTTAGGGGAGAAATAAGTATCATATTTTCCTTCATTAGTATTATACTATAATCAACAGCCATTCCTTTATTTCCATCCAAAATGCCTTTCAATCCTGTTATCTCTATGGTTAAATCGGTAAGACAAATCACATGAAAGACAGATATAACCAGACACTCAAAAGGTCAAATGACACATTCAACAACCTCGCTCATGTTGTTCTAGACATTCAAACTTCAACAAAATTCCATTAAACAGTTGGTAATGAATACTTGTGCAGAAAGCAAAGACAATTTTATCCGTGGTTTTCTTTTCGTCCAAAACATTTTATCACACAAAAGAATTCAGAAAGTAAATGTATATTCTTTAGTAAAGCATCCAAACCCGCAATTTTCTGCTTGTCATAATTTTCCCTTATAACAAACAAGATCTTAGAGATTCTAAGTAAAACAAAGAAGAAATCTAAAATCTTTTCAACAAGCAAAACTTACTAAAATTCAACAAACACATTTCAGAAACTTGATTTCCAAATCCGGAAAACTGTCAAATTCATATATCAAAAAGCCAATGATAAACCAACCTAAAACAATATCCACTGAAAACGAATAAAAATATAAGAATCAAAAGAAATTCCAACAATCGATCAAAGGAGAATCAAAACCAACCAAGAAGAGGGATCTTCAATTTAAGCTGCTCCAATTCGATCTTCAGAGAAGAATCAGAGACTTCGGGTGCAACAACTTCATCTTCGGTTGCTATATCTGCTCTAATTCTTACAAACACTAGGGCCAGAAAGATCGTAACGATCAAGAACTTCGAAATCGCCATGAATGCATGAAAGAACCACCCAAGCTCTGAGACGAACAAAAATCTCTCTCGTTATTTCAGTCTTTGTTCTTCAGTCCGTTGTGAACAAAGAGAGAGAAAAGGAAATAATAATATAATAAGAGTATTAAAAAAGAAAAAAAAAGGAATTCTTACGAGCACGTGTCGGCATCTGGATCTCCTTATTACTGGTAGGAATCTACAAATCTGGATCTTTTTTCCGACACGTGGAGGTTAGACAACATGAACGTTCGAAAAATATGCTGTGGTCGTAGCCTGGCACGTGTGGTGCATATTACAGAAATAATGCTTTATCCCATGTGCTAAACTAGTATTTGATAATTGGAAGGGAAAATCTTTCAATGTGGACCGTCCATCAGACGTGGGTGGGCCAGGTGATGAGCACATATAGATGAAAGTACAAAAGGGACCACCAAAGACTGCCGGTTATCGTAATTGATGATGGGCGTTTGATGGTTGTGAGGTCATCAAAGTTCAACTACTTCAACCAAATGGCATAATCCTAATACACCCTTGACATGTGTTGGGATTTCCTACACATTTTCTCCATCAATTATTTACTTGTCATTAATTAGAGTCACACATTTCTATTATGAATTGAGAGATATATAATTATGCTTGACTTTTCGAAATGAGCCTCGAAAAGTCCATCATTCATGTTTGATAAAAATCCAAAAATCTACTTGAAGCCATTATCAATATAAATGAATGCTCAATGTGAGCGGTTTTTCTGTAGCAGCTCAATCCAAAAGCTCTCCCAAATGGGGCCTGAAGCCCTGAACTTCAAAGATGTTATTTGAAATGGCTTAACAAAAAGTCGATATTACAGCTCCTGGATTTCCCAAGCTTTTATCAAACATGCCTTTATAATGGTCCGTGTTTCTCAGCTCATATAATACTAAAAGTCGCTATGTGAAAACCCTTCCAAACATGCATTTAAGGAGTCTCAACCAGGTCGACACGTCATTGTAAGCATGTTAAATGAGTATTTTTAAATTTGTAAAGTGTTTATTGAATGTATTTCCTATATTGTGTCTATTATATCTAATCCTGACACTTATGGGGCATTCTACAACATAAATGTTAAAGTTTCCACTTGTTTTTGGAATCACCACATCATACGAGAACAAGAACATTTTCTTGAACTCTTTTTGTTTTCAAAGAGAAAAGCAAGTTTGTTTTGTTTCAAAAAAAAAAATAATAATAATAATACATATTATTTTGAAACCAACAAAACAATAGTTTTTAAAGCAAAACCAAATTTTATGATCATATAGAACATGATCTTCAATAATCAGATGAAAATATGTTTTTGAAACCAGATTCAAAGACATACTTTTGGTTCCAATTTTGAAAACACAAAACACATAATCAAGAACATATTTTTTATATTTTTATTTTAAGAAACAATTTATTTTTAAACGAGATGGTTTTCATTTATTTTTAGAACCAACGACAAAAAACAATTCACGTTGTGAAATCCGTGTAACAACTTGGAGGTAGAAGTATTCCATTGGATGGAAGAGAATCTAAGAAATTCCAATGAAACAGTTCTTAATAAGGGTTTATATTTCATTAATTTTAATGGTGTATAAGGAATTGGGTAGCCTGCAGGTGGCAGATGAGAGAAGAATAAAGAGGGTAGGTTGATGCTTCTCATTCAAAGCTTATATGGGGTAGGTGGTTCTTATACCTACCAACAAAACAAGAGGTAAATGCTGCGTTTGGTTTGATATAAAATTAGAGATAGACGGGAAGTTGAGGGAAAATTCTTAAGGCTGTGTTTGGTTGCAATGCAAATAAATTTGTATTGATGTAAAACTATGGCAGTGCAAATTATTTGAGTACAAATGAAGCAAACTAAGACATGGCAATGCAAGTAAAACTTATTTTTATTTTAAATTTTATCTTTTTTCTGTTTAATTGCACTACAAATGAAGCAAACTAAGACATGGAACGAAATAACTAAAATCCAAAACAAAATTAAATAAGAATTTGCATTTTTTTACATTTGCGTTCTAAGACATTTGTACTAGTGCAAAAAAAGTTGCACTGTAACCAAACACAGCCTAAGTGATTTAACGAATTTTGTAAATAACTTTTCCCTCAATGAAATTTCGTGCTTCTTTCTTATAAATTATAATCATTAAAAATTTTCACAATTTTGGTTGAAGAACTTTTCTTACCCATTAATAAAAATAAGAATGGCTCAATGTTATCGTCAAAGACCCTGATTTCATTCTTCCATTTATACCCCAGCCATTGAAATATATTTCCATCTTATTACATTTTCAAAAATTTATTAATGTAGTTTTATTAGTGTAACTTTATTATTAGTGTAATAAAAATTATTAAGTTACATTAATTATTATAGTAAAATTTGTTATTTTCAAAATGCTGTAATTACAGTAATTTTGAAATAATTGTAATTCCAACAATAATTATTAGTGTAGTTAAATAATTATTTTTCAAAATAATTATTACATTAATAATTATTATTGAAATTTTGGTGTAGTAATTAAATAGAGTAATCATTATAATAAATGTTTTACTATAGTTATAATTTCTTATTATTGGAATTTTGGTGTAGTAATTAAATAGAGTAATCATTATAATAAATGTTTTACTATAGTTACAATTTCTTAAAATTAATTTTATTACACTAACAATTAAATTGTGTTATTTTTCAAAAAAAATTACTAGAAATCAATGAATATACAAAATTTTCAACCAATAATTTCTTTATAAATGTCATTTAAAATTAATTAAAAATTATAAAATTGAAAAATAAATTCAACAATTATAGCTTCAGGAAAGATTTGGTGGAGTTTGCAAATTGGCAAACAAACTATCATAATTTTGGAGAAGAAAATATTAAAAAAATATATTAATGTAATTTTGGAAAATTTCTTTAAATGTAGTAAATAATTATTGAAAATTATTGGAATATTATGGAAATTTGGGAATTTTTATTACATTTGATAGATTTTGGAAAATTATTTAATAATTGTGTGATTTTCATTTTAAATTTTTAAAGACAAATTAGTATTGGTAAAGGAAAACGTTAATTTGAACCAATAATTACACAAATTATTTCTGTTATTAATATAAATTAGTATAATATTGGAAAATTTTAGAAAAGGAAATTATTAATTAACTTATAATGAAAATAAAAGATAAATTAGTGTAATTTTGTAAATAATATTTAAAAAAAATAAATTATTTAATATATTTAAAAAATCAATAATTTAGTATATATACTTTTGAAAATTTACCAGGAGCCGACATTCAATATATCCTTTTCATCATTTTTACCAGCAAATTAGACATTGGGTTTTCCCGTGCATCGCACAGATTCCCTACTAGTCTTCATTAAAAAATAACAAAAAAATACAAAGCTTTTCAACGATTCTACGTGGACTAGGCCTTATGGTCCATGATCCAAAATTCTTGGCCCATCTAGATCCGGTTTGACCAAATTATACAACTAAGATGTAAAATGGGTTTGACTTGGTGCAAGTTGGACCACACGGCTCAATCGGCTATAAGTAACCAAGATGACCTGGAGTTTGACATCTGAATGCTTTTGAAATTACAATAATTATTTTCAAAGGTACATCAGTGAATTTTTCTCAATGCTGGTATCTGAATTAGAGAATGTTCTGAAAAATCTAAATGTTAAGTTCTGAAAAATTACAATTGACCATTTTAACATTGGATATGACAATTAATTAAATGAGTATAAAATGATTAACAAATGATGAAATTGATAAAAATTATAAATAATTAAATACTTTTAAAGAATTGAGCATTTAATAACTATTATTTAATTATTAGAAATTCAAAATAAATGATCACATAATTATTTATTCTTATCTATTAAAAATAATTGCACAATAACTAATTAAGTAAATATTAATTAATGAAAATAATTATTTATTAATTTTTTAATTCATTCACTAATTAATTATTAAAAATTCGGTAATCAATAATTTGATATGATTAAAATATAAAAGTAATATTAATTAATTTATTAATAATTTCTGTTTTATTGAAATAAATAATTAATATAATAGAATAATTAAATAGTATAATAATAAATAATATATGAATAGTTTTATTTTATATTTACTATATCTAAAAACTATTATTATTGTTGTTGTTGTTGTATAGTGCAAAATAGGTTGTAAAAAACAAAAGAAATAACTAATGGGCAAAATTGGAACTTAATCATTTAAATTTGAGCATTGATGGAAGACAATATCATGCCAAACCATTCAGCCTTATTGGCAGCCAAATGCTCTAAAATGCCTCTAATTGGTAAGGCCCTCTTTCAGCACTAAGAGTTAAATGCTATCAAACAAAGTCTTGCTTGACTCCATAAACTAGTTTAATTGTTAAGGTCTTTGATTGGTCATAGCAAAGAAAAAAGAAACTTTTGCTCCACTTAGAAAGTAGGTACAATAAACTTATGGATGAGAAGGCCACAATTCCTTGTTTTTGTGAAAATGTTTGAATTTTTTAATGTTGGATAAAATGATTTTAGAGTCCAATTGTGATGTATTAAATAATATGCGCAATACATTCAATCAAGATTTCAGATTCACCTTAAAAACATCACATTGTTTATTTACTTTTTATTAATTCATGTTTTACAAAATATACTTTTTAAAGACGGTTCAACCCAGGGTTAGAATTTATAGGCACAGAGAATTGTTGGGTAGGTGCCAGCTCGGAATTGATGCCAATTCACGGGCAGTATGGATTGTTGCCATTTTGAATGTTTATAGCTTTGCAGTGGAAATCAGAAATCTATATTGGGCCTGTCCATACTTCTCTGTATATTTTAAAGAAAATAAAGCTTTATTGATGAAAATAAACAAAAGGGGCATGAAACCTGACCCTCAAAAATACATAATGAGTAAATAGGGGGGTTATAACATTTGTTTTTTTTTTCTTGTTAATCTTCAAACTTGGATCGTCTCCTAGATGTTATTAAACTTACGGTTCTTTTTCTTTTACTATATTGTCACTGATTATATATTTGGATCAGTTTTTCCTT